AGTCTGCTTCTCCCTCTGACCCTCCCCCCTCTCATGCTCTCTCTATCTCATTCTCTCTCTCAAATAAATAAATAAAATCTTTAAAAAAATAATAAAAAAATAAAATAAAGACATATGCCAATTTCAGACATGTTCAAATATGTGTCTTAAAGTACCTAAAATAGTGTATAGTATCAGGTCTTAACGGTTTCTTAGGGAAAATGAGACTAATTTGGAATTGTTCTTCTTGCTTTTATATAGGAAAGATATGGCATTATTACAAGAGCACAATGTATATTTACATGAACTTGCATAGAATGATGTCCAAGAATGAATAAAACAAGTTGTATAATAACATATACTGCATAAATCAATTATATTAACCAAAGAAGCGCACTGAAAACACTGTTATATATGGATGAAATTCTTACAGTTTTGGAGAGGTATAGAGCAAATTGCAACATTTGGAGTGGGGAGGTAATCAAAAGGGATTGGCTTCAATTATGATATTAAATGTTTTTTTATAAAAAGACATTCATGTATATGTACCACAAAAATTATTTTTTAAAAAGGATAAACTAGAAATTAGACTTTAAAAATCCACCCAGGGGTGCCTAAGCTGGCTCAGTTGGAAGAGCACGTGACTCTTGATCTTGTGGTCATGAGTTCGAACCCCACATTAGGTGTAGAGATCGCTAAAATAATAATAATAAACTTAAAAAAAACCATCCATAATCTCACCAACAAGATAAAATTAAAAGAACAAAAAATTGAAAATTACCCGTAATTCTATCACTGAGATATAAATAAGGTTAACATGTTGTTTTATAGTAAAATGAGATCAAAAGCACTTATTGCTTATAACCTGCTTTTCGCAGGTTTTTCCATCAGCAAATATACTAGATCTAATCAATATCTCAAAAAAAAAGACAGCTGATGCTACACAGTCACCTCTATCAAGCTTGCAGCTCAACCCTAAAGCAAGCTTTTTTTTGGCTTAGAATCGTATCAGTCAAAAATCCCATCAGCTCACACCCAGCGAATGGGATGGTGATCAAAAGTCACCATTGTGTTGTGAAAACTGTTATTTCCTCATAAACAAAGCTTATTCAGCAAAGCCTTTCAAAGCAAGGGAATTTAAAAAAAAATTAAGTGGGTTTAAGGGGATGGGAACCCTTTTGGTGAACTTCAGGGCTGCTGCCTCCGGAGGGCGAGACTGCCCTCTGGAGGTAAAAAACTGCCTCTGCACACAGATCACCAGGAGGTACTTCCAAGTGTAATCTCAAGGAACTCTACCCCACCCTCCAACAGGAACATGGATTTATTTTTGTTGGTCACCATCACTACTTTTCTTATGTAACGGTGCAATTCATTTTTTCTGTTTCTCTTCTTGGCCTGTGTATGGGGGCGTTGACAGTAGCTAGTTTCCTTGACAAAATGTCCCCCTCAGCTTTGCCTTACTCTGTTGAGAGAAGTTCACCAAAGGCAGACGGCTGATGTGGCATCTAAGTTGGAAATTCAATTCAGACAGCATCCTGGGAGGGATCCGACTCAGTGGTTTTATGGGGGGCGGGAGAAAGGGAGTGCTGAAAGAAAATACTTTCCAAAAATATTTACCAGACAAAGAAAAAGAGCTAGGCTTGTGACCAAGACATTCCAAGGAGACACCCTTAGACAGAAGCAATTTTCCAGACCTGTTCCCCAGAAAGGTGGAAATGGCCAGATCCTCCCTCCCCCCTCCCAAAGCCCAGCTCCTACTTCTTCTGAAAATAAACACAGCTACAGCCAGAAGACACCTTTCAAACTGGTCATAATTCAAAAATAGACTCTGCTGTCACTTGCAGGGGAGTACACACAGAGGACAGTTTGGAGCCAGGCTTCTTGGAAAGACTATAACCATCAACCACTGTCGCCAAACAAGATAGCTGGAGGAGATGCATGAGTGAGACATTCTTCTCCCAGTAGAGGATTTAGAAAGAAATCCCAGAGCCGAAGAAGGGGGGAAGGTGGCTCAAGACATTAAAGGAAGTCATTCATATTATTCCTTTTCTTTCTGAAGAGAAGAACTTAAAGCTGAACGACTGATTTACGCACTGTTTGATTATGCTCACCTGAACTGGGAGTTTTCCCAGAAGCCATCCACGTGGCCAGGAACCCCTTTTCCAGCCCATCATGAACCTTGTAGCCTGGGGAACTTGCAACACCAGTCATAAATCATGTAATTCCCGTGCAAACATTCTACAGTGGCCTGGGCGGGGGGGTGCCTCTCCCATCTATGTGGCACACAGGACTCACCTATGATCTTGTCCCTCTTACATCTTGCCCCACCATCAGGCCAGGCTCCTCACCACTGGGCAAATGCACCATATTCATCTCCATGCTCACACACGGGGCCACAAAATGAGTCTTCCCTGGCATGTCATCTTCCATTCCTCTCCCTTCCACCTAAAGTCTACCTGCCCTGCCTTGTCCATTTGTAGTTACCCTCTTGAGTGAATTTCACTCTAGTCATCCTTCAGCCCCCTTCTGGACACTGAACTTACTACCGGACCAACAACAGCATGATCGCTTCCTTTCAGTGTGTGCCTGTGCTATGAGCTGGGCATACCTTACCTGACTTGGCAGTACAATCCTAGCAACCTATTACATGTGTCTTATGTAGTCCTTATTATATATAAGTACCATTATTATGCCCAATGTACCAAAGAGAACACTGGAGTGTCGGAGATGTTAAGTAACTGGTCTAAAATCTCATAGCTACCACAATTCTGTAATATCCACTCCCTGCCTCCCTCTGAACCCTTAACTTGCACCACTTTCCTTCCTACTCTCTACATTCCAGTCATATTGGATCTTTTTTTTTCTTTCTAAAAAATACAAAATAAAAAAACCCAAAAGTCAAGCTCCGTCTCGCCTCAAGGCTTTCGCCCTGGCTTTTGTCTGGAATGTGTCCCTCTACTTTTGCAGAACTGGGTCTTGCTTTTTATTACATGTCTCCTCTTAGAAGCCTTCCTCGTTCACCCTATCTAACACTGCCCCCCGACTTTTCTTCATCATGGCCATGATGATGTTCTTCTAAGCACTTACCATTTCAAGTAATTTCTCATTTATCTATTTGTTTACTTGTTCTGCTAGACCATACCATTGCAATATAAGCTCCGTGAAGACAAGAACCTTGTCTCTGTCGTGCACAGCTAAATCTCTAGGACCTAGAACAATGCCTGGCATTTGGTGAGCACTCAAGACATATTTGAATGAATAAATTAATATTCATGCTTTTTGCCTCTATTCTATGTGACCTCTCTAAATTACAGTCTTTATAGCACTTACAGTTCAACCACATAGCTTTTAGGTTTTATGTCTTATATTGTTTGCAATTATTGCATGCACAATCACTTTCAACCTGTGTGTGTGTGTTTAATCACCAATTTACATGAACTAGCCTTGTCTTTCCAGCTAAGAGCATGTGGTCAATGGATGTCTGCATTTCCTATTTCATCCAGCAGAGGACTGATCATATAGGGTCTCAAATAGTTGGGTGAACTGATAATTTTGTGAATCAGAGTGAGGTGGATGATGTCTAGCATATTTTTTGTCTAGTGTACTTCCGATTCAGGAAGCATCTTGGGTCTGGGATCAAAGTTTTCAGGTTTTTCTGTCTGCTGACAAGTGGTTGCCTGGTTTTGCCCAGCCCATATCCTGAGCCCGGGGTGGGGTGGGGTGAGGGTTGGGGGGTCCTAGGCTTGTGGCCCACTCAGGCTAGAAATAATCAGAAGCAAGGTGTTAAAAAAAATTAACCCCTTCTTGAGATTATTTTCTCCTGGTTAAACTAAAGAATTGAAAAAACATTTACACTGGGAGAGTTATAGAAAGAATGCTGGGCAGTTGGCCAATATATTTTGTGTCTGGAATGCATTTTCTTGAATTTTAATATTTGAAGAACTCTTTGGATATTATCCCCACAAAGGGGAAAAATTCCTCTGATAATCTACCAGGTTGCAAATAACATAGGCAAATTGGACTGTCATAACACACACACACACACACACACAGGAAAGAACTGGTAAGACCAAACACATTTTTTTACATGGAGTTTTAACTTCTTATGATTTTATTGTTATACACATGTTTCATTTTAGAAAGCATTTAAATCATTGATAAATATATACCATGTCCAAGTTAGCATAAAAAAATGTAAGTAGAAGAAAAAAAAGATAGTAAAGAGGTAACATAAAATGACCTAGGGAGAAGTGGAAAAATTAATTCTGTATTAAAACTATAAACATATTTTCCAGGTGGGCCATACATTTGCCTTTAAACTGTCTTGCCGCCAACCACCCAAAACATTAATTCTTGTTTCAATATATGAGTGAATGACGACCGAGTATTTCTATCACTGATACATAACTACAGTATAAAAAATGTGCAGATAGACTCCCAAGAATAACAACCTCATTATATCAAATTTCTAAAACATTAGGACAGTATTTTGATATTTAAAAATGATCAGTATTCCCTTTCTTCTCCCTTCGTAATACTCCGAGGAGAGAAATCTTGTATTAGATAATCTTTAACTAAGCAGGACATATTCTAATTCTTGGAGCATTTATGTCTTTTTCTGCAGATTGTGAATGACAGTGAGCAGGGAGTCCCCACGAAAGGTAAACAAATGAAAATGATTAAAACACTCACATGTCGTCTGTAAATGTTATTCCAAAGTACTCCTTTTCTTTCAGGTTGAAATGTGAAGCCACGAGGTCCAGCAATTCTCTTGATAAAAGTTTGGGCTGTTAAAATAAAATGTGATATATATACAATGGAATATTATGCAGCCATCAAAAGGAATGAGACCTTGCCATTTGCAACGATGTGGATGGAACTGGAGGGTGTTATGCTGAGCAAAATAAGTCAATCAGAGAAAGACATGTATCATATGACCTCACTGATATGAGGAATTCTTAATCGCAGGAAACAAACTGAGGGTTGCTGGAGTGGTGGGGGGTGGGAGGGATGGGGTGGCTGGGTGATGGACATTGGGGAGGGTATGTGCTATGTGAATTGTGCAAGACTGTTGAATCACAAATCTGTACCTCTGAAACAAATAATGCAATATATGTTAAGAAGAAAAAAAAAAGAAGATAGCAGGAGGGGAAGAATGAAGAGGGGGAAATCGGAGAGGGAGATGAACCATGAGAGATGATGGACTCTGAAAAACAAACTGAGGGTTCTAGATGGGTGGAGGGATGGGTTAGCCTGGTGATGGGTATTAAAGAGGGCACGTACTGAATAGAGCACTGGGTGTTATGCACAATGAATCATGGAACACTACATCAGAAACTAATGATGTAATGTATGGTTATTAACATAACAATAAAAAATTTTTAAAAAATGTGATCAGAAGCTACAACCCTTCTCTGCCCCAAATAGTTTAGAGCAGCTTTTGTTTGTTTTTGAAGTTTTTTAAGATTTTATTTAGTCATTTGACAGAGAAAGACACAGCGAGAGAGGGAACACAAGCAGGGGGAGTGGGAGAGGGAGAAGCAGGCTTCCCGCTGAGCAGGGAGCCCGATGCGGGGCTCGATCCCAGGACCCTGGGATCATAACCTGAGCCGAAGGCAGACGCTTAACCAACTGAGCCCACCAGGCGCCCTTACCCCTGTTTGTTTTTAAATACATCTGCCCCCCTTTTGCTGTTTATGTTAATTGACTATACATTTTCCAAGAGATTGGGAAGGGGAAGAAATTGTAATAGGAACCCCAATGAGATCATCATTTTCATGTATTTTGCAATTCAGTCCAGTACCTTACTTTTCCCTCCAGGGAACAGTACGTTTACTAACGCAATGATACTTTGGGAAAATACTCTTTTATATGTAGTACGGTGCTAGTGACCAAGACAAAGAATATCAAACATCTCACCTCCTGGATTGTAGGAATAACTTTGCTTGGTGAGGGCCAGTTGAAGAGTCTGAAGACCCAAGGCTGTGGGGTCACAGATAAAACTAGTACTCTACTCTTGGTTACCATTTACTGTGCTGAATACAAAGGGGAAAAATTCCTCTGATAATCTACCAGGTTGCAAATAACATAGGCAAATTGGACTGTCATAACACACACACACACACACAGGAAAGAACTGGTAAGACCAAACACATTTTTTTACATGGAGTTTTAACTTCTTATGATTTTATTGTTATACACATG